ACCTGAAGATGAAATTGAGGTTGATGCTTCGGCAAGACAGAATCCACTGATGCGGTTGTTGAATGAGAGGCAGAAAGACACTGCTAGAATGCTTCTTGGGGATGGGTGTAAGTTGGTTTACCAACAAGCACCTCCTGGTGTTGGGAAAACCTATGTAGCCTCGATAGTTGTTGCGCTTATCTTGGCATTGTTTAAAAACATGAAAGTTGCAGTCATAACATCGGCGAATCTTCCTTTGGCTAAGCTTGTAAATGAATTAGAGCAGATATTAGGTGGCGATGAAATGGAATCCTCCAGCGCGGTTGCGTTTTTTTCCGGATATGCCAAAGACAAATATAGAGAATTGCTCGCGAATCTCCGCCGACACATGCTGGTAACTAAATTAAAATTGGAAGAAATTGAAGAAAAATTAATGAAGTCTGATGAAAAGGATATTGATGAATACTGCACAAATTTTGAGAGCAGGCCTAAATTGACCAGGGAAAAAAGAATGGCGTCGTTGTTGTCTGAAGTTTCTGATCTCCGAATTGTATTTGCTACGTCCACAATGGCAGAAGACATGTTTAATACATCTCTTCGTGGTGTTTCTGCGATGATTTTTGACGAGGCAACACAAGGATCTTTCGTTGTATTAGCACACTTGATGTCGCGCTTCCCCAATTTGGAAAAGGTCCTCGTCACTGGAGACCAATTCCAGTTGGGTGTTCATTTAGAAGATCTTCCTCAAGTCCTTAGGGAAGGATACGGTCTTGAATCCATGGTTGAACAACTTGTTGTCTCACCAATGGTTAAACAAAATCGCCTTGTAACTTGTTATCGAATGCACCCCACTTTGGTAAAGGTTGTCTCGTTTGCTGCGTATGAACAACACGGAGAGTTGCTTGAGCCAGGTAGAGAAGAAAATGAACGGTCACTTTTAACCGGCTCGAATTTTCCATTGCCTGTCCAAACGTGTCCGATAGTGTTGTTAGATATAGTGGGTAACTGCAGACAAGATACTATAACGCACTCCTCAACAAATGATGCTCACACTGCTTCGGCAATTCTGATTGTTTCCGCCTTGTATGAAAATTTTGCAAGAAATATTGTTGTTATTTGTTTATATGTTTTTCAAAAAGATGGTCTCCGTCGTGAATTTGAAGCTTTGAATTTGAATGTTTTGGTAGTGTCGGTAGATGGATACCAGGCACAGGAGAGCGATTTGATTGTACTTGTCACCACCAGGTCGAAGAGTAAATTTGAAAATAATGAGAATGCAGAGTTCCTCCACGATTCCAGGCGTGCGACGGTAGCCCTCTCCCGTGCCAAGCATGGAATGGTAGTTATCGGGGACGTAGAGAGCTTGAGTGGTGGGTCTGTTTGGCAAAGGTTTTTCGAGAAAGCGTCCTCCTTCACGAAAATTGTTGGTATTAATTATTTGAAGGGTCTTCGCCGTGATTTGCTCAACACTCAACTGGTGACAGCTGACAAGACAATCGCTGGTGTGTTGGAAGGGCCCAGGCAACAACAACAACAAAGACCAAATGAAACGTGGAGACAGAACTCAAGTGCACCAGGACCAAGTTCACGTAACCGTTCAGAGGATTGGTTTGAAAATGATTTTAATAATTTAAATATGAAAACTAACACTGAATTTTATAGGAATCAACCCAAAAGGCAAGCACCTGACAGTTGGCGTGGTTGGAATTCTCGGACTTTTGTGCGAAACACAGACAGAACATGCTTCAATTGTGGAAAGGCTGGTCACTTTGCTCGTGAATGTAATACTTGGAGAGGAAAATATTAATTTGTTTTGTTAATTTTAAATGAATTTTAATTTAATTATTTTTGGCAATTTAATCAATTTTTTTTTAATTATTTTAATCAATCAAATCATTTTTAATTATTCATTGACATAATTACTCTATTACTAAATTTAAATCATCCCTCATTCAATCATTTTATTAAATTTTCCAATCATACATAATTAATTTATCTTCCAACTGTTAATTACTATATATAATCAATTTTCCATAATTTTTCATATTTGCCATTTTTCCTCACTCCCTGTCCATTCACAATTTTAAAAAAAAATATTTTATTATTTTCCCCATAGGCAATAAAGGTCAAATAATCACTACAAAATATTTTATCAAAAACTAGGTATACAATCCTATATGGATTGATATATCTTTATTTTGGAAAATATTTGGTGATGATTATCAACTTTTATTTTAATTTTTTTTTGAGATTTAAAGGAGCTAGTTATTGCACTAAAAATTGCAAAAGTTAGGTTAGAATATTAGATACTTAGGTATCTTTAATTTTAACATAGCTTTTGCATACTTTTCTTACAATAATTAACCTGTCCTCTTCCACGCCTTTCTTTCTCATGTATGGTAGAGATCCTATTTTCTGTGTAGATTTAATCCTGGATCCGAAAGTGCGAGAGCCAGTAGCATTGAATGATGAAGCTGAGATAAAACAAAAATTAATTGTTTCGCTTAGGCAAGCCTGGAAATACGCAGCAGAATCCAATAGGGAAGCGCAGCTAAGAGCTAAAACGCAGTACGATAAGTTAATAAGAAATCCAACAATAACAATAGGTGATCGCGTACTTCTGAGAAATTATACGGGCAAAGTTGGTACATCTAAAAAGTTTCATCTTCCTTGGAAAGGTGTTTTCCGTGTTATAGGAATTGACGGAGTAAGAGTAACTATAACAAGTTGTAATTCTCCTCAGTCGAATCCTAGAATAGTTCACATCAATCAATTAAAGAAATGCGTTGAACCACTTAATTTTGAACCTTCTTGTACAAATCCTAATTTGGATCAAGAAGAATCTGATGCATTGGTCGAAGTGAATGCAGAAGAGCTTATTGACGAACCTGGATATTCGCACAACTTTGATAATAATGTAGAAAAAGTTCATGATAAAGTGTCAGAAGAGTTAGGAAGGCAAGGAATAACGAAATACAATCTAAGGAAGAATCCAAAACAGAAAATCTTAATTTTAAATGCTTCGGCAAGAATGAAATAAATAAAATTATAATTTAAAATTAAATATTAATAAAATAAATCTAATTAAATAGATGTCAGCTGAAATTACACCTTTTTTTACGAAAAAATATGTGTTCAGCAATCATTATGGATGCCATTTTGAAGTTGACAATATTTCTTATTTCTGCGTTGAGCAGTTTTACATGAGGTTCAAGGCTTTGGTTTTTGGCGATTTTGAAAGTGTAGAAATGATAATGGAGGCAAAGGATGCTGGCACAATTAAGCGTATAGGATCAAAAATTAAAGACTTCAATCATCATATCTGGAGAAAATTATGCATCGTTGTTATGGTTATTGGAAATCTGGCTAAATATAGGCAAAATGGAAATATTAGAAAAATGTTATTTGAAACTGGAAATACACTCCTTGTAGAGGCCTCGCCTTTCGACACTTACTGGGGAGTAGGGGTCGGACTTGGTGGTGTGTACAATAGAAGGAACTGGAGAGGTTTGAATGTCCTAGGAAGGATACTCACCAGAATCAGAGATAATTTAAAAAGTTAGTCTAAAATGTAATATTAATAAAATTTATTTGGTAATTTAAATTAAAAAAAAAATCAAAAATTTAAAATATTATAATTTAAACTAATAAATAGAGTAGCACAAAACCGTTTAATTTTGAAAAAACCGTATACCGTTTATGCCATTTATCTGAGACCCGTATACCGTTCCGTTTAATTTTACCAAAAACTAACCGAAATTCTTTAAGTGATGGAAGTTCAAACTCCCTACTTGGACATCAACAGTACCATTGAATTCCCTCCACTGGGCCAACAACAACAACAATCATCTTCTAATAATGTGAGTAATAATAATGCTTCGGCAAGTAAGAATGTTGAAATGGAGATAGATAGTGAAGTTCCTCCGGTCGTGAATTATCGTGTCGATGATGATTATGATTTTGATAAAGATGTTGTGTCGTTTTTGGTTTGTCAAGTCGAAGAGAATTCGGTCATCGGCGGTCGTCTTCGTGTTATGACTAATAAAAGCTGGCCACATTTCGTCACTATTAAAAATAAAACGGTCGAAGAAAGTCCTCATTTTACTAGGAAATTGCAATTGGGAGACATTGTTTATGTCAGCAGGGTTGAATGGAAAGAAGGATACCGATTTTTAGTCCACCATGATAGTGAAACGGGTGAAAATAGAAAGAAATGGTTCGTACAAAAAATCAATACTCAGGCAATTGTCTTGGATATTGAATTTATTGAGTATGCCGACTGGATTGAAACACCTGGTATTGTCCTCAGAATTAGAGATCAGGTCACTGGTGGGATTACTAAAAGGACGTGTGCGTTTATAATTTCCTCCGGATTGCAAGTTTCCTCGAGATGCTATCGTAGACAAATGTCTGATTTGGATCTTGACGAACTACATGAAGGTCAATTAGTCACAGTTTGTACTGCGACTCTTCCTCAAGCTTGTTATGTTGATAATTCGTATATTCTTCCACCAGAATCTGAATTTAAAATGGGGTCTGAAGAAATAATTTTTGAAGAGTTTGGAGCTTTAGCTTCTATAAAGAAACATGCCCCGTGGCCCTACACTAGAAATGGTAAAAATATTTTCTACCCGATTCTGCCTGAAATGACTTATGAAGAAATTGAGCTTTGTGAGAAGGTTATGTCTGCGGCGATTGGGTTTTCTTATGAAGATAAGAAAAATAAAATTATTGAAAGTCGGTTTGAAGGTCCTGCACAATATTTTGACCAATTATTCCACCTTCGTTTCAAGGACATTGACAATCTAAAGGTAAAGAAGCTAAAAGAAGTATGGACAGAAGAAGACCAAGTTTATCTGAAGTCCAGTCTTCATCTTCCTCATTTTGCGATTGGAGTTATAAGAAGAATTGAAGTAAATGAAGTATACTCCTTAGGGAAGAAAAAATTTGATTTCTGTGTTGTAGTGAAGGTAGTGAATATACAATATAGAAAAAAGCGAAATGTTGAAGATGAATTGGAAATGGCTGAAGAGGGAGGATTTGTGGTTGTGTATCCGTGTATATTTAAAGGGCTTGAAAGCAGAAGAGGGTGTTTTATGGGAAATCTCCCCTCTTATTTAGCCAGGCAGGATACAAACCAAGGAAAGTTAATGAATGTTCTTCTGGGGAGAGAAATTGAACCTGAAGATGAAATTGAGGTTGATGCTTCGGCAAGACAGAATCCACTGATGCGGTTGTTGAATGAGAGGCAGAAAGACACTGCTAGAATGCTTCTTGGGGATGGGTGTAAGTTGGTTTACCAACAAGCACCTCCTGGTGTTGGGAAAACCTATGTAGCCTCGATAGTTGTTGCGCTTATCTTGGCATTGTTTAAAAACATGAAAGTTGCAGTCATAACATCGGCGAATCTTCCTTTGGCTAAGCTTGTAAATGAATTAGAGCAGATATTAGGTGGCGATGAAATGGAATCCTCCAGCGCGGTTGCGTTTTTTTCCGGATATGCCAAAGACAAATATAGAGAATTGCTCGCGAATCTCCGCCGACACATGCTGGTAACTAAATTAAAATTGGAAGAAATTGAAGAAAAATTAATGAAGTCTGATGAAAAGGATATTGATGAATACTGCACAAATTTTGAGAGCAGGCCTAAATTGACCAGGGAAAAAAGAATGGCGTCGTTGTTGTCTGAAGTTTCTGATCTCCGAATTGTATTTGCTACGTCCACAATGGCAGAAGACATGTTTAATACATCTCTTCGTGGTGTTTCTGCGATGATTTTTGACGAGGCAACACAAGGATCTTTCGTTGTATTAGCACACTTGATGTCGCGCTTCCCCAATTTGGAAAAGGTCCTCGTCACTGGAGACCAATTCCAGTTGGGTGTTCATTTAGAAGATCTTCCTCAAGTCCTTAGGGAAGGATACGGTCTTGAATCCATGGTTGAACAACTTGTTGTCTCACCAATGGTTAAACAAAATCGCCTTGTAACTTGTTATCGAATGCACCCCACTTTGGTAAAGGTTGTCTCGTTTGCTGCGTATGAACAACACGGAGAGTTGCTTGAGCCAGGTAGAGAAGAAAATGAACGGTCACTTTTAACCGGCTCGAATTTTCCATTGCCTGTCCAAACGTGTCCGATAGTGTTGTTAGATATAGTGGGTAACTGCAGACAAGATACTATAACGCACTCCTCAACAAATGATGCTCACACTGCTTCGGCAATTCTGATTGTTTCCGCCTTGTATGAAAATTTTGCAAGAAATATTGTTGTTATTTGTTTATATGTTTTTCAAAAAGATGGTCTCCGTCGTGAATTTGAAGCTTTGAATTTGAATGTTTTGGTAGTGTCGGTAGATGGATACCAGGCACAGGAGAGCGATTTGATTGTACTTGTCACCACCAGGTCGAAGAGTAAATTTGAAAATAATGAGAATGCAGAGTTCCTCCACGATTCCAGGCGTGCGACGGTAGCCCTCTCCCGTGCCAAGCATGGAATGGTAGTTATCGGGGACGTAGAGAGCTTGAGTGGTGGGTCTGTTTGGCAAAGGTTTTTCGAGAAAGCGTCCTCCTTCACGAAAATTGTTGGTATTAATTATTTGAAGGGTCTTCGCCGTGATTTGCTCAACACTCAACTGGTGACAGCTGACAAGACAATCGCTGGTGTGTTGGAAGGGCCCAGGCAACAACAACAACAAAGACCAAATGAAACGTGGAGACAGAACTCAAGTGCACCAGGACCAAGTTCACGTAACCGTTCAGAGGATTGGTTTGAAAATGATTTTAATAATTTAAATATGAAAACTAACACTGAATTTTATAGGAATCAACCCAAAAGGCAAGCACCTGACAGTTGGCGTGGTTGGAATTCTCGGACTTTTGTGCGAAACACAGACAGAACATGCTTCAATTGTGGAAAGGCTGGTCACTTTGCTCGTGAATGTAATACTTGGAGAGGAAAATATTAATTTGTTTTGTTAATTTTAAATGAATTTTAATTTAATTATTTTTGGCAATTTAATCAATTTTTTTTTAATTATTTTAATCAATCAAATCATTTTTAATTATTCATTGACATAATTACTCTATTACTAAATTTAAATCATCCCTCATTCAATCATTTTATTAAATTTTCCAATCATACATAATTAATTTATCTTCCAACTGTTAATTACTATATATAATCAATTTTCCATAATTTTTCATATTTGCCATTTTTCCTCACTCCCTGTCCATTCACAATTTTAAAAAAAAATATTTTATTATTTTCCCCATAGGCAATAAAGGTCAAATAATCACTACAAAATATTTTATCAAAAACTAGGTATACAATCCTATATGGATTGATATATCTTTATTTTGGAAAATATTTGGTGATGATTATCAACTTTTATTTTAATTTTTTTTTGAGATTTAAAGGAGCTAGTTATTGCACTAAAAATTGCAAAAGTTAGGTTAGAATATTAGATACTTAGGTATCTTTAATTTTAACATAGCTTTTGCATACTTTTCTTACAATAATTAACCTGTCCTCTTCCAAAGCAATTCAATCCCAATATTTAATTTAGGCGTTAAATTTATTTGTTTTTAATTTTAAGCTATTTAAAATTTTAACCAATTTTGAGCATTTTACTATTTCCATTTACTTAGGTAATTCAGACTGTTATTATTTTACACATTCTCAAAATATTTGCTTTTAAACCAAAAAAGAGGGGACAAAATATAGGCAACTAAAAAAAATCAAATTTCCAAACGTGCCAAAATTTCTGCAAGGAAGAAAAATAAAATCAAAATTGACTGACAATCCACTCTAAACAGCGCTTTAGGAAACAAAAGATCATCGAAAATACCCTGATAGGGTCAAAAAAAGACAGACTGGGGGCCTCGGCAAAAACCAGTCTGTAGAACAAAATTTAGGATCAAGGATGATCCTTTGTGGGAAAGGAGTGAAATGAAAGAAAGAGTGGAACGTCAGTCAGAACAAAAATTCTAAACCAAGGTTAATTGGCACTGGTTGGGAATTAGATATTTTGAGACCAGGGACGGTCTTCCCTGGGGTTGGAGGTGTAAGGAAGGACTATGATCCCGAAGGTTAAAGAGCAAAGAGATATTTATATTTCCATTAAATGATTTTCCCATTAAACACATTTCCGCCCATTTATTGCTCATATATTTAATCCTTTTATTTTCCTTTGTAATTGGTTCAGTTAATTGTTATGTTTGATCGGAGTTAGTAAATATACATTTTATTGTTGGTTTTATTTATATGTATTTTCCCTTTGAATAAAGACACTGTTACATCTCTGTGTATATTAATATCTGTGCCTCGGCAAGCCAGAGGACTTGATCAACCCTTTAAGCTTCCCGATAGGATTTAGGTTTCTCTTATATTGAAGTCCACCAAATACCCCAAATGGAATGGCCCATGCCAGCACGTTCCACAAGAGGCGTGCTGTGTTATTATAGGAAAAAATTGGATTCTGATTTCTAAAATTAGGGATAATGTGAATGTCTCGGAAACGAAGCTATCTCGTATCCGGAATTAAAACTGGGGAAAAAGGGGGAAATCTTGATTTCCAAAAAAAAATTCACCAAAAAGCCAAATTCAACAACAATTTATTTTCTCAACAAAAATCTTTAAAACAACAAAACACAAAATATTGTTCTTTCCAAAATTAAACAAATGCACGAAAAAAAAGGGGGGAAAACAGGACAAATTAATTTTAACTGCAAAAAATCCAAAAACTGAATAAACACTGAATAACTGAATAAAAAACATTAAAAAATTGTATTTTATAGAAAAATAGCAAAAAGGGGACAAAAGGGCGGGGATAGGCCAATTTGAGCGGGCCAAAAAATATTTGAAGATAAATGATGACAAATTTTATTTTTCGGCCAAAGGTTAATAAATATAAAAAATATTTTTCAAATCTAGAAGATTTGACATTCGGGAGCCCAAAAAAAAATTTAGATGAAGGCATAGGGTAAATGGGGGAATATGGGTTTAGGTTTTGGTGCAGGGACAGGTGGGGGAGGTCCGTGAGGGAATTTGATAAAATTCAACGGTATTGGTCCATCTATCTTCTTTTCCATCAACGGCTCAATTCTTCCAAATTTCTTCGGAACCATCAAATTTTTCACTCGGCCAGATGGTAGTATACGGACACGTGAATGAATGCTGGGGCGTTGACGGAATCGATTCTGTGCCAATGTTGAATTGTAATACATATTTTTAAAAGGGGGAAATTTAGGTTTGTATGGTTTATTGGTTATAACCTGTGAAAAACGTGCAGCAGTGCCAATTTCCAAGATTTCCATTGTTGTATCATTTTTATCTGATGATGTTGGGGGAGGTGGTGGAGGATTTAAGTTAATTGTAGAATTATATTTAACTGGTGAAGGTTGTTGAACAGAGATAATTGGAGGTGGTGCAGAAGTTAAATTAATTGTTGAATCAGTGTTGTTAGTGGTTGGGAGAGAGGACTCAATAGTGGCAGGGGGTGAAATTTCTTGATTATGGGACATTACTATTGGGACTTTTGGATTTATCTTTAAATGTGAAAGCATAATAATCAATGGGGGGCGAACTTTCTTATTAGGGTTGGATTTTACGGGCATCTAAAAATTTACTTTAAAAAACGCTAATTTCGAATTGGGGGGACAGTACGTTGTACAATTTCGTCTAAAGTATTTTGAAATTGGGTTAATTCTGTTGGTGGAATTGGTGAGGTGGTGGGGTGGAAAGCACGATAAATCTTTAAAATAAATTTAACAATAAGGAGTATGGCTATAATTAACGTGGTTCCAAAAATAGAGACAAAGATAGCCGAGAGTTCGGGTTCCTCGGAAATGTAACGAACCAATGAATCTAAACCAAGGTATAGGGCTGTGGTACTTAATATAGGAAGTGTTGATTTGGCGACTGGTTTAGCAATTTTCTTAATAAGGGGGCGAGATTTTGGATAACTTTCCGTAGGGATAGCGAGTAAAAGAAGACAAAGGATTACCAACATAGACGGAGGGGGAATCCATTGGGAGCGAGGTCTTGCTTTAATTTTATTTTCAAAGAGGCTATATAAGAGCCGGAATATAATTGAGAGGAGGATCAGTGAAATTCCTATTAGAATTAAAGTCATAATCAGGTGTGGTGTTTCGGGCTGTTGGACAAAAATTGGAAAATTTAGAGAGATGACTTCAACGGATAAAACGCTTCCCATTAATGAAAAATTATTTTTTAAAAAAGCTATGAAATAAAAATGATTTTTAAATAAAAGGGGTAAAGGGATGGGACATCTTTACTTTCGCAAAACCCGCCTATTTCTCAACTGTAAATAATTTTGGGCAGGAGAAGGTGGAGGTGAATTAACATATTGTGCTCCCTTATTCGTGTTTTGTAAGGCTGGCTCAACATCTTTTGAATTTTGGGGAGGGGAAGCATCTCTTTTGTCGGAGCAACAATTTAATTCGAGGGGGTATATGTGTGCAATTGAACGGGTTGTTTGTCGGCCTGAGTGGCTCAGCTTAACAGAAACTGTGTCTGGGACTCCGTTTGTGTTTTGGAAAATGTCGGTGACACGGGCCGTTGGCCAAAGGGAGCGCGGGGTGTTGGGATCAAAGAGAAGGACAAATTCTCCCTCCTTAGGCCAACGACCGTTGGAATTGGCCAAATTTTTGTATTGCTCTCTCAGAGAG